GTCTGAAATAACTACAAACTCCGTAGCAGGATCTTTGCTGTGGTTTCCTCACGAAGGCTTTAGTAAGCAAATTAATAATAGAGCAACCAAAAATATGTCCTAGGATAGAACTATTTTCAACATAATTTTTTGTGTGTGCAATGGCAACTGATTGTTTTGTGGTGTGAGATTCTCTAGATCAAAATGTAAGCACTACTCTTCATTTAGCTGCACAGAGACACACTGAGAAAAGCTGTGACATTATCAATCACCACCCTGGGTGTGACTGACAGGCTCTGTGCGGGGAGGAAGAAGTGCCACAGATCCAATCTGTCCCAACAGCTCTGTGATATGCTAACATTTCCTCCAGCTGAGAGAGGAGATGTGTCCAAATACCTCTGCAACAGGTAAGTCATATCCGTGCACCGGTGCAGAGCCGAGGAAACTACAGTCAACCAAAAGCCTGGAGGTGGCTGGGTCTGGCCTGGCCTTTTGATCAGGCAAAGGCCGCCTTCCAATATTCCTCAACTCAGATGCGGCGTCGCCACGTTAGGTATGTTTAAGAAAGGGTGGTATTCTAACAACCATTTCTCTGTTTCCTCTCAGCAATTTTTTAGATTTCTTCTTTTAAAGGACGTCCCCCTGTCTCAGACAATGAACCCATTACTTCTGTCCCTTCTCCATGAGGCCATTTCAGAGCAAGCAAGCGACTTAGCACCTGTAATGTTTTACTCTCTGCTTCTGACATGGCTAAGGCTGCATCTATTAGACTCCAAGGCACCACAGCAAACCCAGGAAACCTGAGCGGAAGGCTCGGTGTCCGACAGGCGCTAGCCACAGCTGGCTGGATGGACCACGTGTTCCCCCACCCGACGCCCGAGCCTTCCACTTCTTTCCTTTTGACTCCCCAGACCTGGAGGGTGACTGTGGGAGAGCCCACAGCCTGGGCTCTGCTTGTTCTTACGCTTCTTTAACTCAACTGTACATTCCTGAAGTCCAGCCCTCAACTGAGAATAGTTCTCTGTGTGCAGCAGGGGGAAGGGACGGGCCGTGACATTTACAACGCAGTGTCTCCTCATCGGTCACCAGGCTCCCTTTCCCCGAAGTCCCTGCACATGGCCTGCCACCAGCACCCAGGAGGGTGGGCTCCCTTCCTTCACTTCCGCCTTCCCGGGTGTGGGAGCGTCGGTGACACAGCAGTCAGCCTGGCAACGCGCTGGAGCCTGGCTTCCGTCGTCCCTTTGTTCCCTGGCAGATTCTCACCTCGGGACGTGAACAGTGAAGTCCCAGGTGCCACACTGGCCACCACCCCAGGATGGCCCTGGGGCTCCTCAGGGCAGACGGGAACAAAGGAGATGAAGAGGGGGAGCCACGCAGGGCAGGAGGCCCGCAAGAGATGCCAACGTGCCCTGGCACCCCTGCCCCAGAGGCTCCCCGGAGATGACTAACAAGATGACCCTGTGGTTGGACAAGCAGCTCCTCTCCCTCACGGGCGACGGCAGGGACAGCCTGCTCTCTGAGGTGAGGAGGGTCTGCCCGTGGGCACGACAAGCTGACACACGTGCTGGGGCAGAGTCGGCCTCGACGCCTTCCCTGGACAGGCTCTAGCGTGGCCCAGCGGTTCAGGCAAGGACGCCGGAGCCAGGCTACCAAGCCGGACGCAGCTCCCGCCCCTGTCAGCTGTGGGCCTGGGCCGCGCTCCTGCCTCTCTTCTCTGCCGGGCCAATGCGGGCCGCTGGGGCGCTGGCTTCGTGGGTTTCCTTTGGGAATTCAGTGACTTCATGCAGCAAAGCACTTAGAAGAGCCAGGGCTCAGCCCGTGCTGGCTGCCATTGTTGCTAGAGCCGGCAGAATCCATTCCATGGTGAAGGCTCCGTGGCCCAGAGGGCCCAGGCTGGCTGACGCAGATGCTGCTGGACGCTGTCCCGACCTTTTGCCCTCACCCTCTCCTTTCCAAAAAGCCTTCCATTTTCCATTTGTTCAGACATCCACCCTCCTTGGTGGCCTTGTGCTTCCCACGAGGGGACCCAGCGCCATACCGGGGGACACCAGGGTGGGTCCAGGCTGCTCGCAGAGTCCAGAAAGCTGCCCGGGTGCCTGATTCTCATAGCTCCCTCTGTCTGCTCTGGTGGAGCAGAGGCCAGTTCTGATGCCAGCGATCCACGAGGCATGGGCACACGCAGGCTGGGAGACAGGAGAAGCTTCCCTTGTTATAAGGAGTCACACTGGGAGAAGCAGCACATTGGGAAAAAACAGACGTTGAAGTATCTGCACGTCTCACTTGGAAAGGTGGCAGCCCCTGGGTGAATGGAGGAGGGACAGGTTAGTCACCCCTGGACCCACACTCCCTCCTGAGCCCTTCTCGGGGAAAATGAGGTTCGTATTGTCAGAGGCAATGCAGCGGAAGCCTTCTGTTCTCATGAGGAAGGACTACACACCTCCATGGCCACAGCAGGGGGCCCTGGTGGCAGGTACAGCCAGCACAGGACGGTCTGGCAAAGAAAACCAGCTACACTAATCACGGTGAAGGGCACTAACATTTATGGAGCACCTACTGTATGCCAGGGACTTCACCTGTATTCTTCTCATTCATTCTTGGAGTAACCTGATTGGCAGGTTTTACTGTCAATCCCACCAGGGAGATGAGGAAACTCAGGACTGCGAAGTGAGTCAGAAAGCTGCCAGGTGCCTGATTCTCACTTGCTCCTTCTGTCCCCAGCGCCCTGGGTGTAAGAGCCTGGTGGAGCAGAGCTCGGGAACCAGTCCAGGAGATGCCTGGTGGGGAGCTGAAGGGCAGCATGGGGTCAGGTTTGTGACCAAAATGAAAAGCAAAGGCCAGAGTGAGGGCCAGTGAGGCTCGGGCAGGACTCAGGGTGACAGCCAGCTGAGGGGAACCTAGGTGCAAACACCAGAACCGGGACCGGGTAGAGCCCCAGGAGGACTCCGGAGCCCTCGTGGGAGCAGACTATCCCGAAGCCACACAGCACAGACGCTGACGGTGGAGAGAGGGTGGAGGCCATGCACCCTGTGGGAGGGGGTGAGGTGCAGGAAGCCAAGGGTCACCTGGGCCAGGGGCCTTGGTGTGAACACACGCAGGAGGCCGAGCACCGGGAGGAGGGGGCGAGAAGCCAGCCGCCAGACCTCGCTCTCCACACAAGAGCACTCGGGAAGCACGAGGAGGGGCTGTCAACTTGGGGTCCTACCTCAGGCGACTTGGTGGCCCAAGATTAGTCCCCACGAGCATCCACAGGTCTGGCACCCCAGATGCAGAGAGCCCCGTGGATGGACAGCTGAAGTAACAAATGTCCTCTTACCCCCAAAGCGACCGGCAGCCATCCCTGACGGCAGAGAAGTGGACAGCGCCACCGTCCTCCTGGGTCTTCCTGGCTCTAGTAGGAGCGTGTGGCCGCTGAGGCTCGGCGTGTGACCTGGATGCAGGCGGACACCCAGGTGCACGTGTGGCTGCTCTGGGCACTGGGCGGTTCTGCCCCTACTTCCCAGGAAGCTGGACTCCAAGCAGGGCGATGGCGGGCGGCACTTCCCCAGGGTACGGGCGCTCATTACTGGGTGTGTCACACCACAACAGCCCTCCAGGGTGGGCACTGACGCTCAGGAAATCCAAGACAAGGGCTTGGCTAAGACCGCGGGGCCAGAAGATGGCAGAGCCCAAGATGGACCAGGTCTGCCTGTGTCCTGAGCTCAGTCGGGCTGGTCCCACCCGCCTGCCCAGAGCCAGCCGTGGGCAGAGCCAGGGCTGTCGTCGATGCCCATTAGAAAACAGGACAGAGGACGGCTCTGCCCCGGGCTGTGTGCTCTCTCTCTGGTCCTCCCTGAAGCCCCTCACTGCGCAGGAAGTGGGCCTGGACCCGCATTGGTTTAGATTCACTCTTCCTCTCGGGAAGAACTTCTACGGAATAGAAAGAGGATTAAAGAAAGGTCTGGAGGGCACGGTGGTCAGCACAGCCCAGTGACTGGCACTCCTGGCCCTGTCCACTTGCTCCACGCCGTGCCACCCCCGTCACTGACCCACAACAATATCTGTGCTGCTCTGGTGACCGTCCAGGAGTATTTCATGGTTAACACAGTTTACTCAGAGACAAAGAAAAGACTATACCAAAAATACCAACCCTGTTACGCGTTTCTTACAGAATGATCAACGGGCCTCAGAGAAGAGTATGGTTCTGCCAGGGTTCCGACGACCAACTGTATGCCGACATAATGAAGCAGGTTTTTAGGAACACATAATGCTATGAAATTATCACATTCAGATGAATTGTCTGGTGGTACTGTCCCAGCCAGGGAGCTTGAAGCAAACATTTTGTGGATCTCTGGTTATTTTTGATTTTGAAATGTATGAAAGTCTCGGAAGAGTTCAAAAAAGAAAGAAAATTTGTCACATTTCAAACCAACATATTGCATCAAGTAAATTAAACCACGATTCTCAAACTGCTCGTCTAACTGACAGCTCAAATGCATTTTAAAAAGTCGTCCGATTCCAAGCCCTGCTGACATTACCATCTCCTCCCCTCCCTCTCTGGGCTCAGTGAAACCCAACCACAATCAGCAAATAGGAGGGAAGCCACATGCTGTCCCCCAACACGCCACAACTCTTGTGGCTAAATCCCTCGCTACTTCATACATAGCACTTGGAGTTTGGTTATTTTTACCCTGCCACTCTTGATGGGCATCTACTGCCAAAAAGCAGTCGTTTTCTCTGTCTAAAGAAAAACCTGCTCAGTTTTACACAAAAACAGAAAAGGCAGCTCTACTCATAAAAATCCAAAGTTAATACAAAAGTGATTAATATTCCAGGACTTCTGCTGGTGTCACTCATGGAGGAGATGCTATTGAGGCGAGCAAAGTCGCAGAACACAAGCTTTCACGTCGCTCTTCTAAGATCTAGTCAGTCAGGCGGCTTTGATGTGTGAACCCGATGACAGGCTGCGGCTCACCCACCGCCCACCGTGGCTAACAGCTGCTGCCGACTAGGGCTGGGGACGCCTTCTAGAAGAGCCCCGTTACCTTTTCTGCGACTTGGACTTCAAGATCTTTTAGTGTCCGGTGGCAATTTGCTTCACTCACACCTCCCCTTCAAGATAAAGACAAAACAAAAAAATCTTTGTTAAATATGTTTTGACCAAACAAATGCTTACACAGGACCTGCAGAGACCACAACGCTGTTTTAAAGCGCTAGGTATTTCTTGCGTGCTGCCACCTGCAGGGGTGTGAACTCGGCAGCGTCGGCTTCCCTGTGCCTCAGTGACCTCATCTGGAAAGGAGAGCCGGGCCTGCTGCTCAGGGGTGGGGACAAAGCCATCACAGCTGACGCCTAATGGACACTTACGTGTGCCAAGCCACATCTCATTTTACCCTGACACCCTGACTTTACAGACCAAGACACAGGTGACATGTGGGCACCAGAGGCACCCTGAGCAGACCCCCTCCTGCCCCTCTGCTGCAGCACTTGGTCCCGGCCACACGGGGCTCCTGCCCATTCTGCGCACCGTGGCCACTCTGTGAAGGGCTTTAGGGCGACGTGTGCCACACAGCCCCCCAGCTCCTGTTAACCTGTACCTGTGTGTTTTCCAGGTAGCTCCAGCCACTCAGAGCCCTCTCTGGACACACAGAGGCTGGGGACGGAGTGGAGGGAGCACTCAGGCTCCTGCCCCTCATAGGGTTTGCCCTGTGCCTCCCACACACTGGGTCCAGGCAGAGCTGGTGAGCAGGACACCCTCCCTTCTGGTGACAGCAACCGAGGGGAAATAACCAGTAACAAATAAACAGCTGAACTAACGGTGGGTGTCACCAAGAAAATAAAGGTGGCAGGACAAACTGGAGGTGGGGAAGATGGCACGGCCTTGGATGAGCAGGCAGCAGCAGGTCTCTACAAGCTGAGGGGCGATGCTGCTGCCCAGGCAAAGCAAAGGGAGACACAGCCAGCACGGAGCCCCGGGGCAGGCACCAGGCCGGCCAGCCCAGCAGTGAGGCCAAGGAGGCCAGAGCTGATGGGCAGGGCAGAGAGGTGGAGGCTGATTCAGAGGCAGACGCTGCCAGAAAGGGTCTAGTAAGGAATCTGGACTTCAAGCCGAGGACAAAGGGAAGCCACTAGAGCATTGAAGCAGAAATTAACTTCATTTTCAGAGGAGGAAAGCCAAGCTTGGAGGTTCAGCTCTGTGCCCAAGCTACAGACAGGACTGGTCAGTGATCCAAGTCTGATGATACTATCAGAGGGAACGGGAACGCTTTAATCTTGTTTTAATGATGAATCAATAGACAGGAAACACCGTAACACGTTTAAGAGCTAAAGAGTAAACAAACGCAGTGCACCCACCATCCAGCTGAGGAAGTGGACAGACACTAGGACACAGAACCCAGCAGGCCGCAGCCCAGTCCGGCCTCATGCAGGCCGACTGCTCTCCTGCTTCCGTGGCTGCTCTCCCTCACGGCGGTTCCCTGCCTGTGCCTGCCCCAGCGACTGTCCCAGGCTGTGTTTCAGGAGAACCTGACCAGCCGCCGTCCCGGCCGCATGTGACTTACTGACACTGGTTTTCTGTAGGTTGGTGCTGAATGATGCGTCTTTTTTAATGCTTTCACTTTTGACTTCTATATGCTAATGTGTAGATTTTTCTCTTACTGAATTTTTCTGTTTGTTACTTCATCAGATGATCTTTGTCTTTTAAGCAGAGCATTTGCTATAATTAAGTGTTTGAATATTCAAACCTATTTTCCTGAAATTAATTACCCCTTTCTTTTGTTCTGCCTTTGTAGTATCACTTTTCCCTCTTTCTTTCTTTCCTTTTTATCCTTTTATTAATGTATCTTTACTTTTGAAAAAGCCAGTAGTTGAAATTTTAAATAGTTTAATAGTCTCTGTCTTTTTGAATTATTTAATCCTTTTATATTTAATGCAATTATATAATGTGCATATGGTGTAGGTCTGTAAATTTTCTTTGTGTGCTTTATTTACCCTACCTGTTCTAGGTTATTCTTTCTTTTCTTGACTTTTTTTTAGATTGATTTTTTTTAAACAAGTCAATTTTTTCCCCTCTAACTACTGGGGAATTATACATTTTGTTTCTACTCTTTGGAAGTCATCCTAAAAATCACAATGTGCATATGTAACATTTCTATATGTAATCAATATTCCAATTTTCCCGTCAGCTAATAAACGGAATTTAGAAGACCTTAACTCAGTTTGTCTACTCTGAGCTTACTGCTGTCAGATATTTTCATTCTGGACATTTTAACACACACCGAAAGTTCATGCCACTGTATTCAGCCAATAATCATTTATATTCACCCCTAGGAAACCACATTCTTTGCTCTTTACTCCTAAAATCTCAGACCTTCCATCTGGGATCATTTTCCTTTCACCTCACCACCTCTCTTAGTTAAGCTCTGCAGGAGATTAACTTTCTCACTTTTTGTCTTAAAATGCATTTAACCCTCAAACTTTATTTCTTTAAATATTTCTTGCTGACTTTTATCAAGTCTCTAATCTCCATAAATTCAAAACAAGCCATCCATATTGAGTCGACCCTTAGCGGCACCAAATCCAAGGTGCCACCCAGCCGGCTCCCGTTGTTCTCCTGGATGCCCTTTCTGGTAGTCTCCCCAGCTGCTTCTTTGTAGCGACAGCCTTTTCCTCTGCAAGCCCTCCTTCGTGATAAAGGGGCTTCTCTGCCCAGGCCACCTGCCCAGACTCAGCTCACGCAGGCTCGTTTCAAGCTCTGCCGCTGCGGCCTCCTTTGACACTGGCGTCTCCGTGGCTGGCCTAGCAGAGAATCGCTGGGACAATTATCAGATTCTTTAGCAAGTTCTGTGGACACTGTGGTGGGTCTTGTCACGCAGCACTTAGAAAGCCTCCTAAGACGTTTAAGATCTGCACTGACTTGTGTCACACACGGAAGGCGTTAGTCATTCTTGGTGGCATTAGCGTGCCAAGTGTCCCATGGGTAATTCCGTACGCGGAGGTCACCCTCTTCATCCCCTGTGGAAAAATGTTCCACGTGTCCATCAGAAGCGGATCTCAAAGGACACCTCAAAGGATGAATTTGCTCTTTCAGTAGATGAGGTCTTGGGTGTTTCTGAAGCAGGGTTGATGATTCAGCCATTGTCACCGGCAGCACAAGTTCCTGTGTATGGGGACACAATAACAGTCCCACATTTGCTCTCACACACTCAGGGGCATAAGCTTTTTAGAAAATATCACTCCAGGTCAAAAACATTTTTAGAAGCAAAATGTTGCTTCTAACTCAGTCCACCGCCACCTACTCAGGGGTCTCCTCAGTATGGTGACTGTCACACTCGGCCAGTTCTGGAAAGGCTGAGGTGGCCAGGGCAGAAGAAATGGCTTACCACTTGTGGGTGCTGTTCATTGTTTGCTGCCAACCACATGAAGTCTTGGCCAGTATAAAATGTGACCTCCGCAGCCATCCAGAGGGAAGTGCTGTGACCAGAGTGAGTGCCACAGCACCGAGGCAGGGAATCTGAGCTGCAAGTCTGTGGAGTGTCCCGGGATTCAGCCCCTGTCTAGTGACTTCAGGATTCAGTGACTGAAGAGGCTGCTCCTTATATTTACACACTTGGTATGAAGAAATCATACAAGATCTGGTGGAAACGACCTGGTTTGAACACAGTAGGCAAAAGTGTCAGATGCTTCTATCTTTCCCAAGCACCGATGCTTCTTCACTTACAATGCAGTTATGTCCCATTAAATAGGCTGAAATAGCCTGAGTCAAAAAATAAAAAATCATTTAATACAGTGCGCCTGACTTACCTGAAACCCGCTCTGGCAGAGTATGGACTTCACCCTGTGATCACGGGCTGACTGCAGCCGAGGCTCCCCGTGCCCAGCATGGTAAGAGAGCACAGTACTGCATATGTCTGGCCCAGGGGAAAACGAGGATTCCAAATGTGAAATGTGACTTCCACTGAACGTGTATGGTTTTCACACCATCATACAGTTGGAAAGTTATAGGTCAAACCATCCTAAGTCAGGAACTGTCTGCGCTCCGATCTCAGGAGATGAGCATACACTGTGGCAAGAAAAGGAGAGGGTCCCAGGGGTCCCCCGGAAAAACTTATTTTATTCTTACAAATA